TCTTTTCTTTTTTGTGTAGGTGTTGATGTTGGTGTTATTTGTTCATTTGTATCAATTCTTATTTGTCCTTCATGTACAGGTAATGATTGTGTTTCTGAAAGTGTTGATAATTTCATTGCATGTTGATCTTTATAAGATCGATGACGTTTATCATTTGTTGATATTTGTTGTTGATTATTTCGATCTTTAAGTACACCATTTATTGTTTGAGTATTAAAACATTGAGCAAGTTGTGCAACAGCTAAATTTTGTGTTGCCGGGGAAAGATTTGGTGGTTGATGTTGTTCATAATGATATGATGAAAAGACTGATGCTGGTGTTGTTTGAGATAAATTTATATTTCCAGTAAAATGTGATGATGCTGGTATACTATGAGAACTTGATAATATTCGAATTTGATTTGATATGGGTGATTGTTGTTGTGGTGTTATTGAACGATTTGATGATGATGATAATGTCGAAGTAGAAAATCCATACCGTTGTTGAATAATTTTTTGACAAACTAAAAAAAGAAACATTCTTTTGTTTTTATTTAAATTAAAACTTTCGCAAAAATTAACCATCATGAAATATTCGTTCAACATTTAAACCATATGTAGCACATGTTTCATAATATGTACAACGTTTAAGTTCATTTGCTAATTTTCTAGCTCGATCTTCATGTATAACACGTGGATTACTTTCACTAATCGCATCTTTAAATAATAATAAAAAAACGTTATATTTCAATCAAAGAAATATATATATTCAAACCTTGTGTTCCAACAAGTATTAATGGCATATCGGTTATATTTCTATAATGATTCATTTTCGTATAATATTGATAAATAGTTTTAAAACTTTCTTCATTTTCTAAACTAAATACAAATATAACTGCATCAATCCAATGTGTAAACTAGATAAAAAAAACAAAATATTAAAATAATGATATTATTTCGTTATTTTTCTATTAGAAATATACTTGTGTATCGGGTACACCAGCTTCATCTCGTATAAGTAATAGATAACTTTGATTATCAATATTGATTTCTTTTTTAAATCTTCCACCTTCAGGAGATTCTTCTTGCATATAAGTACCAGTTAAAAATCGATGAACTAAAGCTGATTTTCCACTTGTTAGTGTACCTAATAGACCAATACGAATATCTAAAACACTTCGACTTAAAGTCCATTCTTGACTGTTCACAAATGAATCTAATAAAATGAAATGAAATGAATCAAATTTCAATTTTTTTAAAAAAATAGAATTTTTACCTTCAATAATCATAACATGTTCACGTATTTGAGCTTGAGTTTTTAATTGATCTTTAAATTCATCGATTAATTCATATATGGAATAAATTGATGGATGTACACTTTCGAAGCGTTCAATTTCAGATTTTATAAAACTTGAATTTGTCATTTGAACTTGAGGATTTATTAATGGTGTAGCACCATAATTATTTGGAGGAGATGTTTGATTATAATTCGACATCATAAAGTAAATGTCTACAAAAAACAATAGTTTGTTTTCACATTTACACCTCTAAGACAAGGACTTTTCTTTTAAATTGCTCTATATTATAGTAATTTTTTCTTGTCAAAAAAAAACTCATCATTGATCTCGATAAAATATCTTTGATTACAACTCATCATGTCAAATAAGAATAGTTTCGTGTAGAATTTTTATTTCCTAGAATATATATAGACAGAAAATATCTTCGATAATTGGTACTGACAGATAGAGTTATAACGCAATTTAATCTATATATATTTCTTAAACCAGAACTATTTGAAGAAATATATGTATACATCAACAGTCATATTGTTTATCTAAAAGTAATATATTAGACTATTAATTATCGTCGTTTTAACAGTAATATAATAAAAGATTTCTGTATGGAATTCTGGTCGACTGTCGTATAAAGATTAAATCTTACATTTCGAAGAGATCATTATCTAAGTAAGACAAGGATGCTTTTTCTCTCTTGAAGATATCTTGTCAAATGAGAGTACTTTATATTATTGAATAAAATCTATGAAAGATATTTTGTCTTGTTAAACTAAACACTACTAACTATAACAAATATTCTTCTATTTATGATAGTTGACAACTGGGAAAAACTAAAAATATCCTTATTTATTGTGTGTGTGGAAAATTCATATGAATCAGATCAAAATATAAACTAATTGACACGAAACATAATTATGGAAAAAAATCGTAAATTACAACTGACATACGTCAAACTTACAGTTCGGCAACAATCTAAGATGGTATTAAACATCTGGAAAATTCTTTAAATTTTGTTTGGAATCTCTCAAATTCTTCGAGTTTATTTTATTGTATGTCAACTTACTTAACACAACTATATTCGTGATATTTTTTTCCCATTAAAAAATAAATATTTTTTTTTCTAAGTTTATCTCATTTATATATTTGATGTAATTTCGATATAAAAATTGAAAATATTTTTCATTTACTTACAAAAAGCAATTTGATTAAGTAGTTGTCACTGTTAATATCTAAATAAAACAAGAAACAAAAATGACAATGAAATATATTTTCTTTTCGTTTTCTTATCACTTACAAATCATTCGAGCGTAGAAAAGGAAAAAAAAGATAAATCAATTTCTTCTAAGGAGAATGATGGTGGCATTTCAAGATGGCCGATCAATTCTGGTAAAATACTTAACCAATCAATAACTAGCGTCGCTTTTTATTCAAATTTAAAATTTTATAAAAAATTTCTATAAAAATATTAAATTCAAGTTTTTTTATTCTTTTAAAAACCTATCAACAAAATAATTTATTAACCTGACATCTATAGTACATGAATCATATATGTATATACAGTAGAGAATATATTTATTTGATTTGATTTGATTATTTTCTTCTATTCTATTTCATATCGTTATATTCATCATTGATTTTCTTCTTATTTTGATCTCATCTAGTCAAAAGTAAAAATTTTACAAAAAATAAGTCGAAAGAATTTTATTTTTGTAAATACATAATGAGTTGGCAACCAGTACAAGTTGATGATCTTCAACAAATTTTAACGTTATTACGTCAATCCCAATCACCCGATACACAAATTCAACGACAAGTTCAAGCACGTTTAGAATCATTAAATCAATATCCAGATTTTAATAAATATCTTGTTTATATTTTAACAAAATTACTTGATGAACAAGAAGCAACACGTTCATTATCAGGATTAATTTTAAAAAATAATGCTAAATCACATTATGAAAAATTTCCGGATGATGTTCGATCCTATATTAAACAAGAATGTTTATCAGCATTAGGTGATCGTTCACCATTAATACGTGCAACAGTTGGCATATTAATAACAACAATTGTAACAAAAGGTTCATTAGAACAATGGCCAGCATTACTAGAACATCTCTATTCATGCTTGGATTCACCAGATGTTAATTTATGTGAAGGCGCATTTGGATCATTACAAAAAATTTGTGAAGATAGTGCCGATCAACTTGAGAATGCACCATCACAACCTTTAAATGTACTTATACCAAAATTTATACAGTTTTTTCTTCATTCGCATTCAAAAGTTCGATCACATGCAATTGCGTAAGTATTTCACTTTTTTTTTTAAATTTTGATAAGAAATAATGAAATTTATTCACATGGGAAATTCTTATAAAGAATATATATATTAATTCTCAAAAGAATTTATAAATTAACTGAACCTCGATTAGACTGAACGATAATTTTATATTTATATTAAAGAATAAAAGTCTATTATGGTTTTTGTTTCTCTTAAACATACTAATGGTTTTGAGAAGTAGAGAGAAAAATGTTTAAACTACCAAGGGAATTTCTGTACAATCTGATTTTTTTTATTTATTTATAGTTGTGTCAATGAATTTATAACACCACGTGCAACAGCACTTATGTCAAACATTGATTCATTTCTTGAAAATTTATTTCAATTAGCAAATGATACTGATTCTGATGTTCGTAAACATGTTTGTCGTGCATTAGTTATGTTAGTTGAAGTTCGTATTGAACGTTTAATCCCACATATGCAACAAATTATTGAATATATGCTTTTAACATCACAAGATGGTGATGATGCTGTTGCATTAGAAGCATGCGAATTTTGGTTAATGATTGCTGATCAACCTATATGTCGAGATGTTTTACAACCATATTTAGATAAATTATTACCAATTCTTTGTAAAAATATGAAATATTCAGAAATAGATATTATTATTTTACAAGGTGATATTGATGAAGATGAACATATACCTGATCGTGTTGAAGATATTCGTCCACGATTTCATCGAGCACGTACAAGACAACATAACCAAAATTTATTAGATAATAATGATTCAACTAGTCAATTAAATAATGCAACTGATACAAATAATAATTCGACCACAGCAACACCACCTAATAGCCAATCGGATCAACACCTACAAGATGATGAAGATGACGATGATGATGATGATGACGGATCAGGTATGATGAGTAAATTACATGTTTGACAGATCATGAGATTTATAATATTTTATATTGCTCTTAAATAATTTTTTTCTTCTTCTTCTTATGTTCAGGTACAAATGCTGATCAAGCAACTGAATGGAATTTACGTAAATGTTCTGCAGCTGCTTTAGATGTACTTTCAAATGTCTTTCGTGAAACAATTCTACCAATATTATTGCCAATTTTACGTGAAATGTTATTTCATACAAATTGGCAAATAAAAGAAAGTGGTATACTTGTATTAGGTGCTATAGCTGAAGGTTGTTCATTTGGTTTAACACCACATTTACCTGATCTTGTTGATTATTTAATAAAATGTTTGAATGATAAAAAACCGTTAGTACGTTCAATAACATGTTGGACATTATCAAGATATTCAACATGGATTGTACACAATGAAGTTCAACAAAATAAATTTCTTATTCCATTAATGTCTGAATTACTTAAACGGATTTTAGATGCAAATAAAAAAGTAAAAATTCATTTCTATTTTGTTTCCATTATCATTCTATACATATATATATATATGTATATTAGGTACAAGAAGCTGCTTGTAGTGCATTTGCAACATTAGAAGAAGAAGCATGTGTACAAATGGTACCTTATTTAAAACAAATTCTTGAAACATTAGTACTTGCTTTTCGTAAATATCAAGCAAAAAATTTATTAATACTTTATGATGCTATTGGAACATTAGCTGATAGTGTTGGTACACATTTAAATCGACCAGATTATATTCAATTATTAATGCCACCATTAATTGAACGATGGAATGTATTGAGAAATGATGATAAAGATTTATTTCCTTTACTTGAATGTCTTTCATCAATTGCAACAGCATTACAAACTGGATTTTTGCCATATTGTGAACCTGTTTTTGTTCGATGTATTGTATTAGTACAACAAACATTAGAAGCTAGTGGACCGGATACACCATTAGATAAAGACTTTATGATTGTTGCACTTGATTTATTATCGGGTTTAGCCGAAGGACTTGGTAATTATTTCTTATTTTATCTTACTCAATCTTAAGAGATAAAAAAAGTATAGTACTCTTAAATATGATGTAATTCATCTAAACTCATTAAGCGATATTATAATTACTAGTAATTAATTTTAGAATAGTTGAATCTTTAGATAGTGAATGCCATTGAAACTATTCTAAAACGTTCATTATATGAAGATGTGTACAGCAAAATAAAGACAAAATTCTAGAAATTTACTTCTTTTTTTAAAAATCTGTACGATCGTTGTCCTTTTAGCTTATGTATCGATATACATATCAGTGTATACTTCATACATATACTGATTAAATCATATGAACTATATATGTACTCATAGAACATAGAACGTGAACGACCGAATAAAGAAAGAGGTCAAAAAGACATGTTCATATTACAAAAGTTACGATATTTTAATAGTAACAGAATGATTGATTATAGACAGTCAATGAGAAACTTCTATTGGAAATTTTCTATGTCGATTATTATACTTTCGAGATAATTGTGGTACTTGAATCGTCTTTTATAAATCGGCTGGTCCAATTCAAATAATTTAATTAGACGGACTCTATCACTAGTGATGAATATGATAGAGTAAGAATAAAGGAAAAAATAACTGTTTCGTCCATAAAACTAACTAACGAGAAGGAAACAGAAGAACAAAATTGATTTAGTCTATCATCAGTTGGATTTCTATGTTGATTTATTAATATAATCAACTCTTAATAAATTATATTTACAAATTTAATTAACCCTATGAGAGAACTGAGATTTTCCAACAAAAGATCATTCATAATAAATCTAACTCATTTCGTAGATATTTAATTAATAATCAATAAATTATGTTTTCGATGTATTCATAAAGATATTGTAAAATCATTCAAAAAAGAAATTCTTCTTGATGCTTGACACAAGAGACTTCCTGTTATTATAGACAATTATTATAATAGAAAAATGTCACTTTGATATATATTTATATTTAATAATTATTATTATTTCTTTTTAATTAGGTTCAAATATTGATACACTTGTTGAACGATCTAATCTTTTAACATTACTTGAACGCTGTGCACAAGATTCTATGGCTGAAGTTCGTCAAAGTTCATTTGCATTATTAGGTGATTTAACAAAAGCTTGTTTTCATCATGTACGAAAACATTTAAATTTCTTTTTACCATTATTAACACAAAATCTTAATCCACAACATGTTAGCGTTTGTAATAATGCAATATGGGCTATTGGAGAAATAGCTGTACAAATTGGTTCTGAAATTCAACCATTTGTATCAGTTATCCTTGAATCATTAATATTAATTGTTAATCGAAATAATACACCGAAAACTTTATTAGAAAATACAGCAATAACAATTGGACGTTTAGGTCTTGTTTGTCCAAATGATGTTTCATCACAATTAGCACGGTTTATACGTCCATGGTGTGTTGCATTACGTAATATACGTGATAATGATGAAAAAGATTCAGCTTTTCGTGGTATATGTAATATGATTATATTAAATCCATTAGGTGTAACGAGTGAATTTATATATGTATGTGATGCAATAGCTTCATGGGAAAAACCACCCGTTGAATTACATGCCAAATTTCGAGACATTTTACAATCATTTAAACAAGAATTTGGTAATGAACAATGGAAACAGTTAACAGATCGATTTCCTCTACCATTAAAACAACGTCTTCAAGTTCATTATGGAGTTTAATCATCATTTTTTTTTCCTTATTTCTTTTTTTTGTTTGACGACATTGATATATATATATATATTCAGAAAAAAGAAACGTACTTTTTTTTTGTCTTTAAATAAAGTCGTCTTAAAATTTTTTTCTTACGTTTTTTTTTACAGATAAATTCTGATATGATTCATTTCGACCTTGTTTTCACGAATGTATTGAATCCGTCTATTTTTATTGTTGTTTTTTTCTTTTTTTTTCATTTTCAAGGATTCAATGTTTGAGTTATTTGTTTTTCGTTTTACAATGAATTATGGCAGATGGATATTTGATGATCAAAACAAAAGAATTTTCCCATTGATAATTGGAACAATTGATATCACAAAATATTTAAATTGATTACGATTCAGCTTAATATGATATATATATATATCATAAAAATTTCATGAATATCTTCAAGTTTATATCTATTAATATATTGAGTTGATCAATGCAAGGATATTTTCCATGCGTAAAAACAATATGATATCATATTTTTCTTTGTATTCATTGTATAGAATGTTATTTCTAATTTAATGATATTCAAGAGGCTCTTAGAGAACTCAATTAACCAAATTGAAATTTCTAGACTCTTTATTTGGATAAATGCACGTTTAGTTGACTACTAATTAGTGAATGAATTATAGAATTTAAAAAAGTCCTTTTCAAAAGAATATCATTACATTATTTGCATGGCATAACAAAGTTTTAGAATTGCTCCTACACTCTCTTTAATATACTACAGACGGTATCTAGAGCATATGAGAATATACTATAATCATAGAATTTATTTGAATAATGCTTGATATTCAAATAAAATAAGTCATCAGTTTCGATAGAACACATAGTTTTGAATGAATTAAACTTGAAATTTTCTCTTAAATACATATATATATATAATTATAATATTAAATTCGTTTACCATATAAAAATTAATAGTATATAAAAACGTTTTTTAATGCTATTAGATAATATTTATTTAAAGAAAATAAATTACAATTGCTAGTGACTTTGTTTGTTTTATTTTTTCTCATTCTCTCATTCTTTTTTTCTTCTTCTTCTTCTTTCAAAAGTAATGTAAATAAACGAAAATGAAATCCAAACTCAGCTGAAGAGGTAACAATTTCTTTTCTCCCACGCACTTCCTCAATCATTCACCGCTTTCCTTTTCTTTTACCTGTAAAACGTATATGTGTCTCTGATTTTTTTTTTCTTCACTTTCTTTTTTTCTTATAGAGGCATATGTCGCACGTTTGCTATTACGCATGCATACTCTTATGTCTCTTTCTTTATGATTAGTAGTCGTATTTTTTTTTCTATATTCGTTCAAGTTTCTTTCCTTCTTTTTTTTTTCTTTCGTCACAGTTGAGCACACTGTAAATAGAAGAGACCGATCAAGTCGTGATATTTTATGCGTGTTTATTGTTACAGATAAGAGGAAAACGATGTCAGTGACATAGTCAGATGGTCAGTTGATGGACTTATTGATTATTGTATATTGGTTACTAGCATTTACGATAATCATTTCATTTTTAGGTGGACTAACTTATTTTATTCAACGACAAACAATAACTGATAATTCACAATTCAATATAATGAATCGAGAACAGCAAGGACGTCGTGGCAGTGGAAATAGTCGCCGAAAAAATACTCGAAATTTGAATAGAAAAAAGCAGCAAAATTCGAATACAAATTCAAATAGAAATAACAACGACGAAGAACAAGAAAAAGAAATAAATTCATCTGAAACAACGAATGAAAAAGATCAAGAATCGATTTTAGAACATTCGGAACAACAATCCGATGAAGAACAAGAACAAGAACAAAATAATAGTACTAATACAGTACAAAATATTATTTCTCCAACACGTATTGAAGATGAACAAGAACCAATGATATTAGTTAAACAACGTAATAAAAATAAATCTATAGATAAATCATTTAGTGTGTCATCATCATCATCAAAAGATGAATCTGTTGTTCCAACTAAACCTCAAGCAAGTGTAGCACCTGTTAAACAAACACCTTTAGCACCATTAATGAATAATTCATCAAATAATTCAATATCTTCTCAAAATCATCAAGATCCTAATCCAAAAGTAAATGGACATCTACCATCATCATCCTATAATGGTTATACATATTCTGCTTATAATTCATTACCACCAAGATTTCAACAACAACGACAAAAAGAAGCAGAATTTGCTGCTCAAAGATATCGTAAAAGAAGAGGACCACTACCACCAAAACGAACAACTCTTACACCTGGTTCAGCTGCACGTCCAAACGATTTCGTACCAACATCATTCCAACAACCATCAGTATCACCACAACCGCAATATACAAATAATGATCAAACAGAATCATATGATTATTCTCCACAACTACCACCACCATCAGCATCACAACAACAACAACAACAACAACAGCAGCAGCAGCAGCAGCAGCAGCAACAGCAGCAGCAACAACAACAACAACAACAACAACAACAACAACAACAACAACAGCAACAGCTACAACAACAACTACAACAGCAACAACAACAGCAACAACAACAGATACAACAACTGCAACAACAACAACTTCAGCAGCAACAGCAGTATCAACAACAACTGCAACTACAATATCCGCAACAGCAACAACAAGAACCGATGCTTAATAATGGTTATTCATCAGAATCTGATATTGTAATAGGTAATACTCAGTTAGATAAATATCAATAATTATATACAAAAGAAATAGAGAGTAGAAGCACATGTTTACGTATAATAATTATAACACTTATCCATTGTTCTCTAGATACACAAGTTTCACAGAACATTAAATATTGATTAAAACACGAAGTGTAGCGTTTTGCAGTCAGTAGTATAATATGCAAAAATAGACTTATCATTGTTTATCTACAAAAGAATGTAAGAATGTTGTCCCTATTACAATTTAGTACTGATTTCTAGATTATTTTTTCTTGGTTTCAGTTGTTTTGACATGTGGTAAAAGACTTGTAAATATAAGCACATAAAATTTAATGAGCTGAGAAAATCAGTAACGATACATCATTTGATTATCTTATTTCTTCGCCTTTCAATGATATTCATCGATGTCATCTATCATTTATATTAAATTTTAGTGTAATCATCGCACATTCTATAGCAATCATTTAACACCTTTCTTTTTTTGACGTTTATATATGCATACATTGAAAATCAATAATCGAACATAGAAATCTATCAACAGAATAAAAAAAATATTTAACTTTGTATTATTTATGAACATACATATGAAATTTATCGTTATTTTTTTTCAGATTCTCCATTATCTGGCATTAATAATTCAAGAAGTCCTCTTTTATCTACATCAATTGGCTCCCAATCATCTCTACAAAGACTTGATTTAATTCGTTCGTTAGCTACATCTCATGGTCTTATTGATGAACTTGTTTCTATATTTGATACAATATCATTTTCGTCCGATGAACTTGATTTAATTTTAAGTAAGATTGCAACAAAACATATTTCAGATAAACATGATCTACAACGTTTATTATCATCTACAAAATCCGATAAAACACTTGAACGTATACTTGATGAAACATATCGTAGTCAAGCAAAAATTCTTGCTATTGAATTACAAACAGAAAAAAATCGTATTCTTGAATTAACAAAATCAAATTCTGATATGGAAAATACAATAAGACAATTACAACAACAACAACCACAAAATATGGTGCAATATCAACAAATGATTTTACCTTATCAAATGCAACTACAAAGATTAGCAGATGAAAATACTCGTTTACAGCATCAATTACATGCTTATTCAATGTTACCAGCATCAATAAATGAACTTAAACAACAACAACATATTCTTACGGAAAAAATTCGACAAATGACAATTAGAAATAGTGCTTTAGAAAATGAAGTTGCTGATAGTGAACGTGCAAGTAAACATGCAGCAGAAATTTATAAAAAAGGTAAATTATTGATTTATTTATTTTTTGGTTTTTTCGAATATTTTTATTTCCTAGCCGATGCTCAAAAACAAGAACGAATCGAGCAAATGATTGCTGATATAAATAAATATAAAAAGTTAGATAAAGAATTAACAACTCTTCGTCAAAAACATAATGAACTTGATAAAAGCCTAAATGCTAAAATTGATGATGTTAGTTGTCAACGTGATGAATTACAAATAACATGTGATCAATTAAAAGAAAAAGTTCAAAATTATGAACAATTACAAAAAAAATATAATCAACTTGTTCAAAATCAATCGAATAAACCAGCAAATGAACTTCAAGAAGAATTAAATGATTTAAAAACTAAAAATGATCAATTACGACAACGTAATTGGAAAATAATGGAGGAATTAAATAAATTATTAAATGAACAACAACAAAATCAAGATATTAAATCATCTTAAAAAATACAGAATGCTTCAAAAATCTCTTAGGAAAATTCATTCAAACATTTCTTATATACAATTCAATTGATTTTTTTTATAATATGTTAGTATGTTCTTTATAGTTTTATTTTCATTATCGATGCTTATTTTGAATTCAACTAAATCTTTACTTAGGAGAGTTTGCTTGAAAAAAACAACTCTTCCGATTGTGAATATTTTCTGTGATAGTTCGACCTGCTATTGTTTATTGGACGAAGCAGACTGTTGTGACAACCCGAACATTTCTCTTCTCTAATTTTTCAAGGTCTTTCATGATGTTTTCTATTTACTACTATACTCATTTTGGAAAAGCATCAATAGTACAAAATTCGACACGGACATTGATCTGATAGTATATAAAACTAAAATATCAATTGAATTGCTTGAGTTGTGTAAGAAATATTTTGACTTACCTTTCCTGAGGCAATTTTTGGAACACTCTGTATGCTTTGTTTTTTTTCTGTTTTTTTCATTTCCTAAGAAATATAAAATTGATGGTTGTTGCTTTGTTATTTTATTTGTTTTCGAGTTTTCTTTTCTTTTTTTCGTTTTTTGTATTTTTTTTTACAATCTTTCAATTATATGATGTTTTGTATTTCTTTCTCAAAAAAAAACATTGATCTATCTTCATTGTTTTTCGTTTGTTTATGCATAATAATAATAGCAGGTAATTATAAAATATTATTATTTAATTTTTATATACCAAGTGATACGTTTATCTTTAAACAAGTGATAATTAACTTCGTTTTTTTCCGTATTAATAAAATAAAATGAATTTGTGAATTGTTTTTTTGTAAATTCTATTTTGTTCTTTTAATTAAAGATATGAAAAGTGATAATAGTTGAACTTTTTTTGTTTATTAAAGAATGACCTTGAAACAACAATTTCTTAAAAATACTTATCGCTTCTCAATGAATTTTACAGATACATATAAGGAACTAATTTCCAGTTTATTTAACGCTATTTTTGAATTTAATGGAAACAAAAACATATGTAGGCTTGACAAAACTATAGAAAAGAATAAAGGGATGTACTTGTTTATTTTTTTGATATAATAATTAGATGAAAATGTAGTTGATGAATCAATATAATTTATTATGTAAAATAGGAGGAACACGCATGTTTACTGAATAGTCTAGAAGGGAAATATCCCACGCTACTATTACATAAATATTTGAGTTTTGATCGTCGAATAAGTCAATAGGACAGAAAATAATCAGCATATTTCAATATTTAATAAGAGACGGAACATCTAGGAAAATATTAAAATGAATAATATAGATAGATATATATATATAGAAGTCGTTCTCTCGCTAATGAAATATCTGTTTCTATCAAATCCATTGAGTCATCCAATCAAATATAAAAATAATTTATGTCAATACTAATAAGCACAATTTTATTATTCATAGTTTATATATAATTGTAACTCATGACATATTTGTTTTGTTACATCTATTATATTGGTAAGATTGTTTATTTTTTATTTCGAAATTATTTAGAATGATGAATTGAAATTTTACACTAGTGTTTGATATTGTTCAAGTTTTCTTAAGTATTAATTTATTCTTCAGCAAGTACAATAATCTTATCATCGTGTCGAAAAATAATTGATAGATCTTTATCAGGATTTAAAACAATTCCATAAAATTTATTTGGATCTTGAGCATATTTCATTTGTCTATAACCAATTGCTAATGTTTGTTGTTTAATTGATATTTCTATAATTCGACTAAATAATATCGGTATACCTAATTTTGTAAATAATGTAACTGGTCTTAAGTAAATTTCTACGCCTTCAGCTGTTAATAAAATATCAAATACTTTAGTTAAATATTTATTTTCACTGATTTGCGCAATATATTTGGAGAGTATATTTGGACTAACAATAAAATCATCAGCACGTGTTATTTCTGCTAATTCACGATTTCTTATATCAAACATTTCTGTAACAATACTAAATGTTTTTTGACGAGGATTTTTATCAATGATATTACGTAAATGTAATAAACAAATAAGACATTCAGCATCAGCTGTTTCAGATGATGAATTTTCGAATTGATTTTGTTCATTATTTGCAAGAAGAATAACATCATGATAATTATATCTATAAGATAAAGAAAGAAAAAAAGATTTTTTTATTAAAACGATTAGTATTTATTTTATACAAATTAAGTTTTTCTAAATCAATTCTACTTGTTATATCACCAGAATGTAAATATAATTTTTGTTTTTTTAATTCATTCACTAATTGTTCTGTTATGATTTTTGTTGCTTTATCAATATTTGTTAAAATATGTAATTCACTTCCTTCGGATACATAATTATCTAATTGTTTTGCAATTAATGATGCTTTTGAATTCCATCCGAGAATAATATTTTTTTCAATATTTGTTTGTTTTATAGAATTTGAATTTATTAATGATATATCTGTTTCGAATAATGCAGATATTGATAAATAATTTGATGAAATATTTGATGATAATATAATTGCATCATCATCTTCAGCTATAACAATAATTTGATCATTTTCATGAATAATTGTATCAGGTGATGGACAAATTTTAATTGTTTCATCAGCAAACATTAAACCAATAACTGTACTTGTATGATAAAGAAATAGAGCATCATGAAATGTTTTACCGATTAATAATGGTTCATATTTAAAATAAATTTCATCATATTTAAATGAAAGTAACATTGATAATATAATTGATAAACCTGACTGACGACCACTTTGTGCTATTATACGTGCAATGATCTCATCAGCATGTACAAATATAACTTCATCTGTTCCTAGAAAAAAACGAGAATTCTTATTTTTTTAAATAAAATTTAATTTTCCTCACCAGCAATACGTGCAACTTCAATATTGTTTCGTTCTTTTATTTCAGCAACAATATGAAATTTTTGTTTTGTTCGTTGTGGATTATTTGTTATAGCTAAAATTGTTTTTATAACACTAACATCAGGATTCTCATTGAATGGTGCTAAAATAATTATTGATCGAGCATTATTTGGTGATAAGATATTTAAATCATGTATAGACATTGGATCACCATTACGACAAATTATTTTTGTATTTTTATTTTCATCAATTTTTTGCGATATTATTTCTTGCATTTCAATACGATCTTTCGATGCTAAAATAACAATTGATGGGTTATGTTGATTTTCGTTGGCAATAATTAATTCATTAATTATATCAAAGATTTTTGATGACCAACCAAGTATAACTATACAATAAGAAGAATAGAATTTAAAATTTGAATAAATCTATTTACTTGTATGATTTGTTTCAATAACCTGTGTACGTCCTTTACGTAAATCAGCTAGTTTTCCTTCCATACCTGTTGTTAATGCACCGATTAATGTTGATATAATAAATATTCCACACATAGTTACTGTTGCTGAAATTAATCGATGAATACCACCAGTATCTTCAGATGCTGAACCGGGATCTATGAAAATTCTTATACTATAGAAATATTTCAAAAGACAAAATCTAACCAAGTGTACGCATGAAAGTTTCCCATAATGATTGTGAATATGTACTAGCTTCTCCATTCCATAGATATAATGATGAAAAAATAAGTATTAAACAAATAGATATTAATGCAAGAATAGGAATAATAACAACAGGACCTGCTGCAAATATATTATCGGATTTATATTTAAACCAAGCACGAAAATATGATATATAATGAAAATTTTGTTTCTTATTCCAATAGGAATTGAATGATGTTAAATAAGTTCTTTTCTTTGTTTTCATTGATAATATACAGAGAAATATTTTTTTTTCATTTGATTTTTAACATTAAAATCAACACGTTTATATCTGGATATCGATTCATCTAATCTACTTTTGTATTTGCATTAACAATATACTTTTAAAGTTCAATCGGTTTTTTTTTGCTTGAAGGTATATTTAACAAATCATATTACAAAGATTAATTGTATACTCATTAAAAATTCAATTTTATCAAAAAAGGATTATTAGAATTTATTTTCTCATTACAATCTTTCTTCCAGCAAAAGAAAACCACTTATATCATTATAATTCCAAAGTATGAAATATTGACAGACGCGTAGTTTTATTTCTTACTATTAATAGGATAACCTTCATACTTTTTAACTTTATTGTTTTTTATGAACTGTAAATTATATGTAAAATAAGAGAGTATAATCGATAGGTGTTATATTTATTAGATTGTTCAGTTGAAATAAATTAGTATACATCAACGCCTACGTTATCAGAAAAAAGAAAAGGAAATATGTTTCTCAGCACCGGAAATCGGTTGCACACGTCTTTATATTTACATGAGATATATTGTATCAGAAGTTCTTTTATTCTCTTTTTAATTATTATTCAACGCTGTTGTTATTATTTTTCCTATTAAAGATACTTTTATTCAGATATAAAAAAGACTTGTACTTTACTTTATCTAAAACATACTGTGTTTCTAAATATATATACTTAGAAGTTCGCGTGAATAATTTTTATGACTTTTTGAAAACAAATAATATCTGTTTTCTATTACTTTACAATTAACTAATCGTTATTTTATCGTTTTTTACTCGATATTACGTGAGTTTCATATAGAGTGTATATTCATGTAAATAGAGAGTAGAGTAAAAACAGACGAAATTTAACTTCTCAGTTGAGCAAATTAAGCAATGCAAAGAATAAAAATAGTACGAATAGTATGCTTATTATTAAGAAAATAAAATAATTTCCTATATGTGTTTTAATATATGATTGAGTTGTTAGAAATAAAAGAAAAGGCGAGGGTAACAAAAGCTATCCTATTGCATGTTTTATGGTCATTTATAAAAAAAGTCATGACTAGAACAGCATCATTTTAAGAAAGTGAGTACTATTGTAATTATCAACGCCCTTTTTTTTCTAATTTTAGTAGATACTAAGATTATATAACTACTTTTATTCTTTTCAATGAGATTTGTTCATCTAAGTATCATGACTTTGCGTCATAACGATCTTGAAAAGTTCTCTATAAAATATAATTATTTCTTTATTTTTACATTAGTATTGTGAAGAGTAGCAGAAAAAGCAAATTAATTTGTCAAAGAAATTAGCAGTTTCTTTTTGAAAAAAGTTCCTGATATTACAACTGTTTCTTATAAAATGTATATGTCGTCATCTCAGAATTTCTACTTTATTCTTCTGAAGTTGTAACATGTAAAAAAGTTCGTTAGGATGACGTTGATGCTAAATTGATCAGCTTTATCATGTACGTATTAAATTAGTACCATTAGTATTCATCTTAAAAGTTCAGTGAATACATAATGTAATCATCATAATCGTTTATCAAATATGTGTTTTTATTTTTTCTTAATGATATATCATGCGTATTGAACTAAATAATTTTTATATAAACGAAGAAAGTTTCCGTATACATTCTTTTTTTGCTTCTCAATTGAGTGAAAAAAAATTGTAGATGCTAGTTATTTTCCTCCTCTGCTTCTTTTTCTTCTCTCGTTTTTTTTGTTTTTTCTTCTCACGTAGAATAGATATAACTAATAGTCTATTCTATCTACTTTTCTCTCAATTTCTTTCGTATTTAAAGTCTTGTCTAATGATAAGGTGATATATTACATTAACTTTCTTTAGACAAAACAATATGAGTAAGTATTCATGATTAGAGATATATCTGAAAATCTTTTAGTAAATTGGTAAATTACAAATCTAATGAAGATGGACAGAAATAAACAGGAAACTATATTGATTCTTTTTTTTCTCTAGATAACTGACTGTCCTATTTTTACTTCTTATATATCCAAAAAAGTATTAAAATTAAAATTAAAATCATGTCAAACAAAGCATTAATCAGCTCAGTTCTAGTTAATATGTTACCAACTTTTTCAACTGGTTCAAATTCCTTTTTTTCAAGATTTGTGATGATCAGTACTATCTTTGTTCTTTTTATCACATTTTTACCATATGCTTCCTCTTCACCTACACCCTCATCCATTTCAATGGAATCTAACAACAATAATAATATTGATAACAAAATTGTTCATGATTCAAATGCATTTATGTTTAATCCAAATAATTATCAAACAAATTTACAAGATGATTCATCGGCACCATCATCAGCATCATCCGTCCATGAACAACAAATTTCTGCACCATCATCACCAATCTGGTTTGGACAACCACGTACACAAGCTAATCAATTTTTAATGTCGCATGTCAACGATAATGATATCATTGTACCAAAATGGTTTGTACGACATAATAATAATGATGACGATGATGATGATGATGAGATCAATGATTATATTCCATCTGGTATTGTAGTCAACAAACGATCATCATATTTTAATGCTGGAGGACATCAAACATTAAAGAAGCGTAAACAACAAGCAAAACCACCTATGGAAGTGATGAATGAAATTGTCAATTCCATTTATCTTTAACGTTAAAAAGAATTCGAGAAAATGCGAAGAAAATTTTGACAAATAGTCACTATTTTTTAACCAAGTTGCTACTTTCTATTGTATTGCTTGAGTTAATAAATAATTGACAAATAAAAATATTATTTCCTTAATATTGATAAATCTTATTTCTACTATTTGACCTTTTCAAAAAAAAATCGTGATGCAATATGATCAACATTCTTCTTTTATGTCTAGTACAAAACCTGGATAATTTCTCATTTTCATCTTATTAATAACTTCTCATATTATTGAATACACTGATATTTATAAGTATTTTTATCGTGAGATGTAAAAAACAGACTTTTATAAATAACAAAAATTGATGTCTTTGAATTTAGTGATTCATGTTTCTATAAATAATTATCAATTGTATGTTTTTGAAATCATGCAAAAGTCTGCGTGGTAACTAGAAAAAAAGATGTGTTCTTGTCATTTCATTTGAACTGTTTATTACAAAAAGCGTAAATATAGCATTTTGTATAATAAAGATCTGCTCATTGATATGAGTAATATCACACCGAATTAACATTCATGTATTATTAAAATTGTCCTCATCAGAGACCATTATCATCATCATCTTTTCTTGTTTTTATCTTCATTTTAGTTTACTTATATATATTTTTTAATATATTTAATGCTTGTCTTAATGATTATATTTAGTTATTTTGATGTAAAAAAAGAATGAATAATTTATAGGAATATATTAAAGAATATGATATTATCTATGTTATAAGATTTTTATGTTTGCGATAATCGCAAGTTATTTATATAATGAATGTTTCTTCATGTTCCACATAAAAATATTACTTCTTATCGTCAGGTTTTGGGCGTAATACGTCTAGACTTTGCGATTCTTTAAACTGCAATATTAAAATTAATTTAAAATACCTTGATTCATGAGAAGAGAAAACTTACAAGATATATTCAATTATAATACTTAGTTTTTTATTATCATGAGATTTCCCGCTGATGCTTTTATCTTTTTATTTAAAGTAAGATCTCATAGAGATTTTACTGGAAATAGTAGTGAGTGACATCTATGTCAGATGTCATAATTAAAAACTTAATAAAATTTCTCAAGTATATTGGAATTAAATTAGAAAAAAAGAAAAAATTGAAAAGAATTGACTTTGTTTCATGTTATCATTCTAAATATTTCTTATGAAATCGACATTTGTATATTATGATTCGTGTTTAAGTATTCCATAGAATACATTTACGAATGTAAATAGTAATTCATCTTCACAAATATCTATTCAATTTTGAAAGAAACAACTAATATATTTAATTTACTAATATTTCAAATTTTTAGATCTTTCGTTTCTAAACATTCTTAGGCAATACCATGGGTCCCAAATTCGATCCAGCAGCCGTTTACGAAAGTATGAAATTTTTTTCTTGTTTTTTATGTATTCAATATATTATGTATAGTTATGATTCGTGTCACCGGTGGTGAAGTACCAGGTGGTTCATCATTAGCCCCAAAAATCGGTCCTCTTGGTTTAGTGAGTATAAATATCTAATTTCTTCTTATATGAATTAATTCTATTCTTTGTATAGTCACCAAAAAAAGTGGGTGATGATATTGCTAAAGCAACAGGTGAATGGAAAGGCATGCGTGTAACAGTAAAATTAACTGTTCAAAATCGTAATGCAAAAATCGATGTAATTCCATCAGCATCATCACTTGTTATCAAAGCACTTAAAGAACCACCACGTGATCGAAAGAAACAAAAGAATAGTAAAAATTAAACTTTTGTTTTTTTTTAAATTTATTTTTATTAATTGTTCTAGTTAAACATGATGGTAATGTTTCACTCGATGAAATCTATAAAATTGCTCGAATTATGCGACCAAGATCATTAGCAAAAGCATTCGATGGAACTGTCAAAGAAATACTTGGTAATATTTGTAACAAAAAGAAAATAAAATTTTTCTATGTTTTATTATTATTTATAGGCACAGCTCAATCAGTTGGCTGTAAAGTAGAAGGCTCTCATCCACATGATATTATTAATCAAATAGATAATGGTCAAGTTGATGTACCACGAGAGTAAATGAAAAAAAAAATAAAATAAAAATACAAACATCACAAAGATTTTTTGTTAAGAAGAAAAATAAATAAAGAAGATATCATCAAGACTTTATTTAAGTTATATCGTTTGTTTTGATTATAACTGTTTTTTTCTAATAAAGTCAAAAATGAAACTTCGATTTGAAATAATTTAACAACATTCTTTTTTAAAATATAACAAAAGATCAGCAAATTTAATTGAGGGTGTGGGTGTGGTGTGGCTATGAATTTTTTCTTTACCCACACCCTGTTTGTTTGTCTTTAATACTTATTTTGTAATGCAGAGCCATGATGAGTGTTTAATCTTTGAATAATAAATTAACTCCGCATTTATTATTTATGAAGTACATCAATTTATTTTTTTGAATTTAATATAAAAGAGATTACTGAAAAGCAAGAGTTAGAAACTAGCAGATTGATTTTTCAATCAGAATTTGTATATTTTTCTGATAAGATCATTATTAAATGATTGAATCAACCATCGTCTTGATGTTTTTTGATGTCTACTACTAGATATAAGAAGCTCTTTTTTATATAATTTCAATGGTAAAACAAATACAATGAGACAAAGTAATGATGGAATAAATAAAACAAAATATAGGATCAAACGTGGTAAACCAAGAATAATCAAAAGAATAGCTGAGATAATATTAATGATAAATGGAATACATGAATGTATCATGGAATTGAAGATTAGATGGATAGAGTAGTTATAACAAATATGAGAATAATAATCATATATTTAGCCATTTTTACACTTTTTTATTTATTGAAACTTGTTCCTTTCATTGCACTAAATGCTCTTTTTGTAGCTACACATCCTTATCTCTGAGAAACATACATCTTTCAATTTCTACATTGAAGATCTATTTTCTAGCCACCAACACATATATTCGAATCTTATTTATATATTTAAAACTAAAAATTCAGAGGAAGATCCAGCTTATAAAACAAGTAACGCTCGTCGAGAGGAGCCGCTTCACTTTCAACTGATCTCAGATGATCATCATCACAGAGAGCTTATTAGATTGTGATTTCAACTTTAACGCCATTTACATTTTTAGAAAAAGAAAACAAACTGTATAACTACTTCAATTCTTCTCAATAAAAAACTCCATTCTTTAGGTCACCACTAAAGCTTTTTACATGGTATAGTCAACTTGTAGTCAGTCGTCAGTGTCCTGTTGGTCCATCACTCTCGCCGATTGCTTAACATTATGTTTAGCCTCTAAAAGAACGCGATCTTTCACTCTTACTTTTACATTTCTTCGAATCAAACAAATATTCGATTTCTGAAGACGAATTTTTGATTGTCATTTATTGGGTGTAATCATTTACTTTGATGCGCGAAGCAATGCAGTAGACATACACAACACAATTGATATGAGATCTGAAATAATACAACTCACTTTGACGATGCCGATGAGAGCACAACAAAACAATATGTTTACCCTCTACGTTTTTGTCAAAAAAATAGAAAAGATATTTTACAGTCGATCGTCAGCGTCCCTTCGATCCAATACTCCATCTTGAGAGTGTGAATGTATGATTAATACAATACCCACACCCACACCCATATTCAATGTCATTCTTACTTAAGGATCATCATGAGGTATGTTTAGAATCATTGTAACTACATGAATTCCTTATTAAACCGATTATTAACTTTACTTACGTTCGAAAAAAGAATTCGATTTATTATATACAATGATTCATATGGGATTAACTGATAACGAAAAAAAATAAAGCTAAGATTAGTGAAGTCATATACGTATATTATTGTGTTTTTTTGCGTTCTCTTTGAAATAAAACGTCTATAAAAGATGAGAATAAATATCAAATACATTACTTTTCTTTCTTATTGTTAAAGATTTTTACGAAATATTCTTTATAAAATGTCCTCTTTAACCTATGTTTTTTGTATGCTACTATTATTGATTGTGCTTCTCAGTGTGTCATTAGCACAGACCCCTCAATGTATAAGTTGTTGTAATAATCAAGGAAGTTGTAGTACAGCTTTCAATGGAAAAAATGGTATGTAGAAATAAAAGATTCTTGTTTGTTTTAAAAATTGTTGTTCATCTTTTATTCATTAAGGTCGATGTTGTACTAAAGGTCTTGAGCGATGGTGTTGTGCGTGTAAGTAGAATTAAGAAAATAGAGTATATGGAGATCAATAATATTCATCTTTATTTTTCTATTATAGGGACTGATTCGTGTGTTGATTCTACTCAAGGTTGTAGACCTAGTGTCCGTCGATGGGGAGCCTTGACACTAGGTGGACTGATCGGTGTAATTATCGGAAGCGTCTGTGGGTGCTGTATACTGGTAGCATTGATTGCTTTTATATGTAAAAAAATATTCTAATAATGAACATAAAAAATGTAATTTTACTTGTCAATAAAAGATTCTCTAAACGTTCACACAACGTGTCTTTTCAAAATACATAGAAATGTTAAAAGAGTTAAAAAAATAGAAAAGAAATTTTTCATGATTTACGAGCTTTCGATACTTAACATGTTTCATCATCAGATAAGAGAATAAGAAAATTTATTTTTATGTATAAAAATTATGAGTAATAAATAAGATATATTATTCATAGAGTTTCTTTAATTTCTCTTTTAAGAGTGGATGTGGGTGTGTCTATTCCTCTATTTGTAATGCACATTCACATTCTCAGATATCATTTTCATTTATTTTTTAATATACAATTCTTAAAACTGACTTTATGTTGTATATACTATTTAGATGATACTCAATATGTATTTTCATTATTTGCCTAAAAAATGTATTACAATGATAGACAAGATCTATATTCATTTAAACATATATCAATGTGCTATACACAGATGAGTGTTTAATTACTATATGCATTATTGATACAATCAGAACCAGTGAAAAGATTATAAACACACAAAAATAAAGCGAATGATTATTTTCATTTTATTGTAAACGTTGTCATATTACTAAATCCGTTATAGTTTATATGTGTACAAAATCTTTCGGTTAAATCTAAACAATTTTATAAAATTTTTCGAATAAAACACCTAGGAACTGTTTCTATTTTAATGAGAAACCAAATTGAAGTGAATAGTTAAATACAAATAAAAAAAACTTCCAAACTGCTCAAAATTTTACAACTACATGCTGAATATTTTAACATGATCGTGAATTGGAAGGATTTGTTGTATTTCATGTATCTATAGTTGGGTGTGGGTGTGGGTGTTGATTAGAGGTGGTGGCTTAGCATTAAAGCTGAAAATAATGCATTGATTTATTTCTCAACGAAAGTTAATTAATGTTGAATTTTTGGAATTAAAAGTAGTATTGGTGGTACTAATGTCAATTTAATGCATAAATCGATATTAAATGTTTTCTTTACAATAATAAGCCTGTGCATTATTTTCATATTAATGCTAAGCCACCACCCCTAGTGGTGATATGAATTGGTGTGAATGCATGTGAGTATTCACTTCCTCATCACCCACCGAAAAATCTGACAAGATTCAATCAATCATTTCATTCAAAATTTCTTCCACTAAAACCTTCATATTTAGTTCATTTTGATATTTATTAATTTGATACTCAACAAATTCAATTTATTCAATTAATATATGGTTTTAGTTTACTTTGCTCTTCAACCAATAATCAATTTCTTCTTTCTTTTTATATTAAGAATGAAGACACATCCAATCATCATTCATTAATATTTGAATAAAAATAATCAATGAAAATCAGATAATTTCCGATTCTGTTTTTGATTAAATCTTGACGTAAAAGACTGTTTTATATTATTAAAGTTGGACCATAGGCAAACCTTTATAAAACCCATTTTTTATCAAAACATCGAAAATAAATTTTCACTTTTGAATCTGAATAATTCCATTGAAATTCTTCATTTAAGTGTGATGACAAGTTTTTTATGTTGTATTCATATAAAGTTCTGAAAAAGTCTATTTCAATTATGTTTGTTTACTAATGCGATCGTTCTCGATGTTATTAAAATAAAAAATAGATCACGAGTCAAACATTCATTGCATTCGGAAGCTCCGAAGAAAGTAAATAATATGCTCGTGACATAGAAAAATTAAATTAATAAAACTAAATATTGCCATTTTGTGATTGTTGTCTACATTGTTCGTGACAGTAACTAAAAATACAAGTATGTTATCCATTGTTAATTCTATTTGTTGGTTTAATATTCTTATTGTTATCAGTGGATCTCTAAGTAAATCAAATTCTTTAAATTTGATTTATTAGAATTTAAAATAATATTGGATCATTTTATAGGTATATCGTACAATCAACCTCGATTTAGTTCATGTGCAATATGGGATATAAACGCAACTACAGTAATTGGTAGTTCTCCACTGGGATCCAGTCCCTATGGTCTATTTATCAATAATAATAATACTTTATATGTAACATCACGAAAAAAGAACAATACTCAGATATGGCCTGAAGGTGCTGGTAGTTCTACTAGTACTTTTTCTATTGATTTAGCTGCTCCTGCTGGAATCTTTGTCACAGATGCAAAGGACGTTTATATCGATAATGGACTTTACAAAAATGAAGTGATTATGTGGCCATTTAATCAAACGAATAGCATCGTTGTTATGAATGTTAGCGGACGATGTCACTCGCTTTTTATTAATATTAACAATACGCTTTATTGTTCTATGGGGGATCTTCATCAAATCGTCAGCAAATCGTTAAATGATACTGCTAATACATTACCAACAATTACTGCAGGTAACGGTTCTAATGGATCAATGGCAAATTTACTTTCTACTCCTTATGGTATCTTTGTCGATACTAATTTTGACTTATATATAGCCGATAGTGGTAATCATCGTATTCAAGTTTTTCATTTTGGTCAGTCGAATGGAACAACTGTTGTAGGCGATGGATCGCCAATTAATTTTGCACTTAATAGTCCGTCGGATGTTATACTTGATGCTGATGGATATTTATTTATTGTTGATCAAGGCAAAAATCGTATCATTGGATCAGGACCGTATGGTTATCGATGCATTGCTGGATGTTCAGAACTGAAAAATACAACAGCTGATACATTGAATACTCCGTTCGGTATTGCTTTTGATAGTTATGGTAATTTATTTGTGGTTGATACAGGTAATTCTCGAATTCAAAAATTTGTTCTCAGAAACAATTCTGTCGCTTGCAGTGAGTTATTGTGAAAACTGCCTGTTTATTTTAACTTTTTTTTCTTGTTCTTTTATAGTTGAATCGACAACAGAAACAACTTCGATGCTGTTATCAACCAATTTGGAAGAAGATACAACAATATTAACTACAACTTTAGAATATATTGCAACGGTCGAAGTTTCCATTGAGGTATCAACAACAGTTGCAGCATTTATAAGAAAATCCAATTATTATTTTGTTCCTGAAAACTGTATCAATTCTAATTATATTGGCGTGTCTTGTAATCAAACAAGTAATCCATGTGATATGCTTCGTCCATGCCAAAATTCAGGCACTTGTTATTCTAATATCAGCACTTTCGATCGTTATTCTTGTTTATGTGCCGATGGTTTTAGTGGTAGTAATTGTCAATACGATTATCGACTTTGTAAACCTAACAAATGTTGGAATAATGGTAGATATTTTCTTGTCTTTACAAAATCTAATCTAAACATACCGATCATTTATCTTTTTAGGTTCTTGTATGATATTATCTAATACGAGTTTTTTATGTGTGTGTTCATCTATTTGGCAAGGTATATATTGTCAGACAACAATGAATTATTGTGGCAATATTACTTGTTTGAATAATGCTGTCTGTCGTTCATTATTATCTGATTATAAATGTGAATGTTTAACAAGCAGTTTTTCGGGTCGTTTTTGCGAACACAAAGCTAATTCTCTCATTGTCAAAGAAATCATTTCGAAAACACTATCTTATATTGCTATTCTAGCCATAGTCATCGTTATGTTTTTCGTAATTGTACTCGACGTACTGAAATATATATTTCACATCGATCCAGTTTATGAAGAACGCAGTCGACTTGCTCGTCGAAAACAATTTATTCGTATTCAAACAAAACCTCCTACTCTAATCAGACCTTTCTTTATCGATTAATATTTGAAACAAAACTTTATTTGAGATTATCCATACCTATACCTTCGATGAATATCAAACTAACATAAAATTATTCGTTAAACTTTGTTAAAACACATATTTTGAAGTACTTAAAATGAATAAAACTATGTCAAAGATCGTTTAATTCTAATATTATGATTGATTGAATTTTATATGAAGGTTTGGGTATGGGTGTAGATAATGATACAACAACCAAAGTCACACTCACCCACACCCTCATGATAAATACGGCCGGCCAAGCCACGAAAATGAGGCCCGTTTCGAGCCCTGGTAATAATAGAATTCTACAGATACCTGATGTGTCCCTTCAAGAAAGGCGAAACTATAGTCGTGTCGATTCGTTCAATTCCAATAGATAAACCATTCGTAAATCCTCGTAATCGATATGAAATTAGTTATGGCACTGGCCTCACACCCCTCATAACATCATTTGATTAAGATAATCACTTTAATTATACTTTTGAATGAAAGTTAAATTTGTAGAAGTTTTTTTGCCTTTGAGTTTAATTGAGAAAGATTGTTTTTATTGATTTTAATTGAAATTAATCTTTTAAAGTCATATAAAGACATTGAATCGTCTGCTGAGTTCTCTGAAAAGGATGAAACGCGTCATGTCTATTTGTACTCATCCTCTTATAGAATATCATATATTGATTTGGATTCATTTCTGCATCTCTTATACTGATATTCTTGTGCCACTTGGCAAGATACAATCAATAAAGTCGAATGTATGCTTTTTGACTGATACCCGATCAACTAGTAGAAAGGTCGCAACTGACTTAAATGAGTTATTGAATGAACTGATTAATCACATAAAGACATCATTTTAGTACGCCAATAAATGTACTTTTGGACTCTTTCTCTAAATTTATCAAAAACACAACAACAATGGGATTATTATCGATGTAAAAATGACATGAATAGTATGTGCACACATTTTATCGAAAATAGGTTATGATCATCTACAATCAAGCACATGAGAAAACAATTATAGAAGAGAGTGTGTTTTTTTCCAAAGCTTTGACAATGACGATACTTGATGGAGATGATGTTTGCTTGTGTGCGTAGCAACTCTTCTGAAACGATAAAAATATTCGAGTAATTCGAAACAATATCTAATTATAACATACCGATCTCATCCGATATTACCACTAAGACTATTGCAAGTAATACCACCAACACTATCACCAGTGCAAATATCACTACAGCCATTATTGCTATAATGGACACCAGTATAATCAGTGCAAGTAGGAATAGTACCACTAAGATGACGACCACCACGACCATCAGTACAAGTAATGCAAAGACCATAACAGGTATCAGTAAAAGGACCAGTAATAGTAAAAACAACACCACTACTAAGAAATTTAGCACCAACCTCACATGGAGGACAACCTGTAAGACCCTGCGGACAACCACCTGTTGCACGGGAGTTGTTCTGATGGACTGATGAGAGTGTAATGTTTTGAGTATCTAGCTGTATGGTCTCTGCATAGGATCTTGTAGATAACATTGATATAAACACGATCACATAGGGCAGCGTGTGCATGTTGTGGATAGTAGGCGATGTAATCTTAACGTTGGATAATGTGTATGAATGAAAGAAAGATCTGCTAACGGTGGAGAAATTTGGTAGCTTTCAAGCGGTATACTCTTCTTTAAATACTTATCGGCGTTTAGAGTAAAAAACCTTGAATGAAGAGAGAGACCGACTCATTTTTCCTGATACAATGAGAAAGAAAACAGGTGCTTTAGTTTACGATTAGTGGAAAAGCGTATCTCATTCATCTATAGACACTCTTCTATCAGTTAATCAGAAAAGATTTTTCGCTGAAACGAGAACAGTCGTTTATCAATTTTCGATGAAACGAAGGGTGTACGTATAGATCGATGGTAGTGTGCTTGAGTGCGGCTGTGATTGTGGTTATGGGTGTGGGTGGCTGTGAATGTGGCTGTGGGTGTGGATGGCTGTGGGTGTGGGTGGCTGTGAGTGTGGGTGTGGATGTGGATGGGTGTGGATGTGGGTGGGTGTAGATGTGGGTGGGTGTGGATGTGGGTGGGTGTAGATGTGGGTGGGTGTGGATGTGGGTGGCTGTGGGTGTGGATGGCTGTGGGTGTGGAGTGGCTGTGAGTGTGGGTGTGGATATGGGTGGCTGTGAGTGTGGGTGTGGATATGGGTGGCTGTGGGTGGCTGTGGATGGCTTTGGGTGTGAGTGTGATTAAGGATGAATATATGAATGTGGATATGAGAGGAGTACAACACCCACACCCACACCCACACCCACACCCACACCCACACCCACACTCACAGCCACCCATATCCACACCCACACTCACAGCCACTCCACACCCACAGCCACACCCGCAAAATAAATTTGATAACTGACACTATTTTGCGTAGTATTTTTTGTAGTTTTTGCGTCGTAATCGTGTGTAATATTATCTCTAATATGCGCACACAAGTAAGCAGGTGTGTTTTGATCCCACTTGAGATAACTAATTGCGTATATATAATGGCTGTGCAACTTTCTGTTTTCTCTAATCGTATGTGTCTATTGACACCATTCACGTATTATC